TTTTTTTTTTCCGGTACTGGGAATCGAACTCATGACCTTGCACTTGCCAGGCAGGCACTGTGCCGCTGAGCTAAATCCCCAGCCCCTCAAAAACTATTTTTAAAGTAAATCTTTCATTTTAAAGCAGTTTAAAGACTTATAGAAAAGCCAGGCATAGTGGCACATGGCTGTAATCCCAGCACTTGGGAGAGTGAGGCAGGAGGATCACAAGTTTGAGGCCAGCCTGGGCTACATAATGAGTTCAAGGTCAGTCTGGACAACATAGAAACACCGTGTCTCAAAGAAAAGAAAAGAAAAGAAAAAAATAGAAAAGCCACAGAGCTAGGACAAGCACTCCTTTATTTTTGTTGGTACCAGGAATCAAATTCATGACCTCAGGCTTGCCAGGCAAGCGCTTATGTGCTGAGCTACACCCCCGGCCCAGGCCAAGCACTTCTGTATCCTCCATCCGGCTCTCTCCGCTGTGCAAGTCTTACCTTTCCTGTGTGTCAGCGCTGCTGTGACAGGCACCCACACACAGGACCACGCTGGCGCAGTGCGGGGTCCCTCCGGGGCCTGGAGGAAGGGGGACCCGGCTGCCTCTCACCCTGCTGGGCCCTCCACCCCACAGACCGCAGAGCTGATGCTGCAGTGTGCGGAGCGTCGCCTCCGGGAGGACAGGGCCATGAAGGAGCTGGCGGAGCAGGTGGCAGAGGCGCAGAAGAATGTCAAGGTGGCTCAGATGAAGCTGGTGAAGAGCCGGCGGCAAATAGGTAGGGCAGGGGCAGGGGATGTAGCTCAGCAGTACAAGCACCTGCCTCGCAAGTGCAAGGTCCTGAGTTTGAATGCAGATACCCCCCCAAAAAAAAAGGCAACCAGAAAAAATAAACAAATAGGTAGGGCAGGAGCCAGTGCCAAGCTCTGCTGTCCCTGCCTGGGCTCTGAGCTGCCACCTGCCCCAGCTGCTGTCCCTGGAGGGCAGCCTGGGATACTGGCTGGGAGGAGGAGCCCACGCCCTGCAGAGCCGTTCGAGGAACCCTCAGCACCCCACCTGGTCTCCAAGTCCAGGAGATGACCGACGAGAGCCGGGAGCTGCTGCAGCGCAGCATGAAGGCAGCCGAGGAGGAGCACAGGCGGCGCTCGGAGCTCATCTCTCAGCTGCGTGCGCTGGAGACGCGGCCCTCACGCAAGGGCAAGCTGGTGGACCTGACCCAGGTGAGCCGCTGGCAGGCCAGCTCTGAGCCAGGTCTCTGTGAGGGCAGGGGCCACGGCCGAGATGGCAAGGCAGGCTCCAGAGAGGCCACGGGGGCCCTGTATGTGCAGGGCCCAGGGTCTTCCTGGACTGAGCTCAGAAGGGCAGCTGGGGAGAGCACAGGCGTCCAGATGTTGTGCTGGATGGAGCTGGGGACTAAGGGTGCAGCTCCTGGAAGGAAGGTGTGTGAGAAGGCAGAGGGGGCCAGGCTGCGGGACAAGCACAAATGGGGTGGCCTGGCCCCAGAGTGAGGGGCTCCCAGTGGGGGTATCCCGTGAGCCCCCAAGCTGGAGAAGCAGGATGTGGGGGGAGACCCCCGGCTGCACCACTGTCAGCCTGCCCCCTCCAGATCCCCGGATATGGCCTGGAAGGGGAGATGTCAGTGGCGGAGCTGCGGGAGCGGCTGGCTCTGCTCAAGGAGACGCAGAAGCGTGAAGAGGAGGAGAGGCGGGATCAGATCATCCGGGACAAGCGCACCAAGAGCGAGGAGCTGCTGAACACCATGGAGCAGATATCCCTGTGCCGCATGGCTGTGGGGAGAACCGCGGCCCTGAGGTGGGTGCCTGAGGACAGGAAGGGCACTCTCTGCCAGGCAGGGCCCTGGCCACAGGGTCCCCAACCTCTGATTTTAGTACATGACTTCAGGTACGTGGGAACGGAAGCTTTCAAGCTCAAGACCCAGATGCAGTTACTTGGCACTCAGGTCTCAAGGACAACCTTCTGTCACGTGACCCCGGGTAACTAGCTAGCTGCTTATCTGTCTGCAGAGCCATTTGGAGATAGTTACAGGCCTCAGATGCTTCCTCCCTGAACAGCCTAGCTGCATCCCCTAAAAAAAGACTGTCCTACATAACCCAATGCCATGACACAGCTAGGAAAGGTAACAAAATTCCCAGCCTCACCTAAGTATCTTGTCCATATTCACACTTCTGCAGCACCCCAAGATTGTTGAAACTTCTTAAAGATTTGATAACTTTTTTTTTTCTTTTAAAACCAGGACCTGGTGCTTACTTAGGCAGCACATATACTAAAACTGGAACGATACAAAACCAGGACCTGGCCAGGCATGGTGGCACATGCCTGTAATCCCAGCACTTGGGAGGCTGAGGCAGGAGGATCACTGTGAGTTCAAGGCCAGCCTGGGCTACAAAGTGAGTTCAAGGCCAGCCTGAACTGCATAGCGAGACCCTGTCTCAAAAAACAAACACCCAGGACCTGAGCCACATTAGTACACACACACACACACACACACACACACACACACACTGCCAATTTGCTTTGGGGTCAGTGTGGTAACTTTTCCGCAGCCCAGGTGGCTGTCCCATGGTGCTCCATCAGGCACAGGGAGGCATCCATCCACCCCACTCAGGGTCACAGTGGTCTTGGGCCTCCCCCTGATCCCCAGGAGGCACCCAGACCTTCTGAAGTAGAGCCCACTGGGCTCCACTGAAAGTCTTGAGCAGAGCTGGGTGGAGTGAGCCGGTCCTCCTCTGCTGTCAGCGTTGCTGCTCCAGCTGCAGTCAGTGGAAGGAGCTGCAGGGCCTCAGGGAGGTCTGGCCCAGCACAGGGCACCCCAGAGCCTGGGGGTGGGGGCAGTGCAGGTGTATATGCCCTGCCTTGTGACAGTGACATCAAAGAGGCCTGGGGGGGGAGGGGGAGGACACTGTGCAAACACCTCAGTGTTAGCAGTGGTCACCTCCAGGCGGGAGCGGCCAGGGGAGTGTGAGATAAAAGGGGCGTCTACGTTTTTACTGCAGTTACACATGTAGTTAGCACACATGTAATTTTTTGTTGCAGTGGTGGTGTTTTTGTTTTTGAGACAGGGTCTCGCTATGCAGTTCAGGCTGGCCTTGAGCTCACTTTGTAGCCCAGGCTGGTCTCCAACTCGCATAGGTCCTCCTGCCTCAGCCTGCCGAGTGCTGGGATTACAGGCGTGCGCTGCCACGCCCGGCTGTAATGTTTGCTTTATGAGATCAATTTTAAAAAGCGGGGTTCTGCGGCACACCTGTAACACCAGCACTCTGGCAGGCCCAGGCAGGAGGATCGCACGTCTGAGTCCCACCTGAGCAACTTAGGAAGACCCTCTCCCACAATAAAAGGGGCTGGGATGCAGCAAGTCGTAGGGCGCCCCTAGCTTTGAACCTCGGCCCTAGTACCACAGAATGGGAAAGAAAGGTTAAGAGAAAAGATTGAAAGGGTAGGGGTGCGGGTAGGAGCCCTGC